AAACTCTAATGAGGTGGTTTCATTCCCTTTCCAGTCCTTTCTGCACACTGCCGTAGCACTTGCGTGCATGGGAACATTTATGGCTGTTAGTAGGCTTTCTTTTCTGTCATGTTCCCTCTCTTTCCCTTCATTTTCTTACAAAAATGATTCATTGTTGCACAACTTTCTTTTCCTCAGATTCCTTTAAAATGCAAATATTCGCATATTGTGAGCAGGATTCCCAGGCCCAGTGAGGGTCTGATCTGCCATGTTGTGATGACTTTCATGGCAGGAACCTGGGTCTTTTGGCAAAGCCTCTGGCAAAGGGAGAGCTGCACCTGGCCAGGGAGAGGGACAGCGGGAAGAGGCCTGGCGCAGACTGAGCAGGCGGGTGCTGCCACTTTGTGGATTGGCCATGGCAGTTCTTCCCTGAAAAGGGCATCTTCCCCCACCCCACCCCCCAAAAACAACAGCGGCAGCAGCAACAACGAAGCTTAGCAGGCGGACAGATAGAGACCGCTGTGGGTGTTAGGACAAGGGAAGGAAAACAGGCGGAGAGGAGGGTGTGCGCCTCTCAGTCCAGCACGCGAGGATTCCAGCTCCATCCTTTGGAACCAGCCCAGCGGCGATAGCCTGGGTGACTCGGGGCAATTCATATGCAAATAGGGGAAGCCTGGGGGAAATACCGACCCTATTCAAAGGATTTTGGGGGTTGTGGAGCATTCCAGAGCTCTGGGAAGCTAATGCCCTGCATGCTGACCCTCAGACCCGCACGTCTGCCCGCTGCAAACTGGGGCTGCAGGTACATCCGGGGCTGTGGGGTGGCGGGGAGGGGGGGCAGAGCGGGCAGTCTCTGGGTCCCTGCCCTGGGGTGGCTCAGGACCTAATCGATAGTCTGGAGAGCAGGAACTCGAGACCCCGCCAAAACATCACCGAGGCAGCAGGGCACAGCTTTGCCCTTCAGCTCTGCTCTGGAGTTGCAGGGACGTGGGGGCGGGGGTAACTGACTCTCTTCCATAGAACTTTGGGAAATGTGCCTGGTGATAATGCACTAGTACCTGAAGCCAGATACTTTTTATTGGACTTAATGATTGAAAACTCTCTAAGTATTAATTAATATGTGGAACCCAAAGGTCAACTGCAGCTTCCAAAACTCCAGGGGTTTTGTTAAAATCGCATATACCTGGGTCCCACCTAGATTTGCTGAATCGGAATCTCAGAGGTGGTGTGCCCTGGACACACACCCCACAGCGGTTTCTCATCACACCTAAGCCTTTGGTTCTCAAAGGCTCCCCAACAGTTCATAAATCCCATCTGCAAAAAAAGAGCAGGCTGACAGCTTAAAATGAGTTTTACCATTTCTTTCTCCCTAACGTAAACAAAAGATCATATTGAGATTCTTGGCGTAGGCTGCTGGCTTTGGATTGATAAGTGCGTGCTTACTAGTACTTCGTGCCTTCCTCGGCTATAATTAATAGAACTTGATTCCCAGGAGAGAGTGGTTTCCAGGGAACTTTTAAGATTTGGAGTAGATTTGATGGTGCGGAATTAAGTACATGGGATTTGTGTTTATACGTGGGTTGTAATTCGAGAGCTACCAATTTACTCGGTGTATAACCTCAAACAAGTTAGGCAGCCTCTCAAAGCCTAGGTTTTCTTATCTGTTAATTATGAGTGGTAATACCTGCTTCAAAGTTGCGGTGCATTAAATGAGTTCAGGTATGTAATCTGCAAAGTATGTGGCTTTTGGTGGGAATTCAATAGTTTTTTTTTTTCAACTTACCACCAATGAGACCATATCGCGACTGAGACTATTGCTTTGCAGTCACAAAGGAAATTAAAAACAGTGCCGCCATGAAAAATAAATTTTACATGGGTCACACTTGCCACGTAACAACATTTTGGTCAGTTATGGACTGCATTTTATGGTAGTGGCCCCATGTACCCCCCAGTAGTCTCATGAGATCATAGCACCTAGTGATGGCCCAGCCATCGTAGTTTGTGGAAACAGGAGCGTGGAACTGCAGGACTTGGCCATCCTTACACAGCACACGAATGTAATTTAGAGTCAGAATTCAGCGCCGTGATGAAATGAGAGTTATGCTTGACATTTCGCCATTCATTCTAGCAAAAAAGAGTTCAAGAAAGATATTTTTCCATTATAACTCCCTAAATTTTATTTGGAATAATTATAAATTTACAGAAAATTGCAATAGTTCAAAAAACTTCCTTGAATTCACCGGTGTTTAAATTTTGATGTTTTCATTTTCATTCTCTCCCTCTTCCACCATGTGTGAGTATAGGTTTTCTTCCCCTGAACCATCAGAGAGTATATTGCAGGTATCATGCCCCTTAGTTAGTGCCAGTGTGTATTTTATATGAGCATGGATGTTCTCTTGCCTAAGCACGGTTGTTTGCCAGTTCAGGAAATTCAAAGTTGTGTTTATCATGTATAAGAGTTGCAGTATAGATTCGTTTTGCCCCCTTTTTTTTTTTTCTTTTCTTTTTTTTTTTTTTTTGAAAGATTTATTTTGTTCAGTTGAAAGGCAGAATTAGAGAGTGTGGGAGGGAGGGAGGGAGATCTTCCATCCACTTGGTTCACTCCCCAGATGGCTGCAACCGCTGGAGCCAGGAGCCAGGAGCTTCTAGGACTCTCACGTGGGTACAGGGTCCCAAGCACTTGGGCCATTCTCCACTGTTTTGCCAGGCACATTAGCAGGGAGCTACATCGGAAGTGGAGCACCTGGAACATATGGGATGCTGGCACTGCAGGTGGCAGCTTTACCCACTACACCACAAGCCAGCCCCTGCCCTTTGTTGTTTGTTTGTTTGTTTTGACAGGCAGAGTGGACAGTGAGAGAGAGAGAGACAGAGAGAAAGGTCTTCCTTTGCCGTTGGTTCACCTTCCAATGGCTGCCACGGCCGGCGCGCCGTGCCTATCCGAAGGCAGGAGCCAGGTGCTTATCCTGGTCTCCCATGGGGTGCAGGGCCCAGGTTCTTGGGCCATCCTCCACTGCACTCCCTGGCCACAGCAGAGAGCTGGCCTGGAAGGGGGGCAACCGGGACAGAATCCAGCGCCCCGACTGGGACTAGAACCCTGTGTGCCGTCACCGTAAGGCGGAGGACTAGCCTACTGAGCCGTTTCAGGCTTGTGCATACCTTATCCACGCATTCCGGGCCTGGAATTGCCCACCTCTCCAAAGAATCCCACTTCCTTTTACTGAAAAGGGTTTTTGTAAACATTAAAATTCCTAAATTCTTAGGGTGAGAACAGTGGGAACAATTTTGGAGCATGAGATCCGCTCTGAAAGCCTGCCTCTCCATAAACAGTTTGGAAACTTGGAGCTTTTGCTTCTTAGATCTGGGTAAACATATTCTAACCCGACTCAGGGTTACTAGTGTATGTACTTAGTAGATTTGTGATTGTTTAAGTGGATCTTAAGGAATTTGAAAGACACTAAGCAGATTGTGCACTGCTGAATGTTTCCTATGTAACGTTCATTTTAAGTGAGCAAATGCTGTCTCATCTTTAGAACTCTCTCATCCTTTGTGTCTAAGTAACAGGTAATTACAGAAGCTAATGATACAAGGTGTACATTTCTTTTCATTTCTAGAGTCATGCACTCTAATTGTATAGATGTTTTAATTGCAAATATCATTAGAGAACTTCATGTTTACATTTTGTAGCTATCTTCGAGTACCTTCTAGTGACGGAAGCTGCTGTGACTCCTGATGGATGTTTTGGCAGGCAGAATCTGTTTTTCTCATCTTTAACTATGCGAGGGAGCAGCACAAAGCTCAAGTCCAGGGGAAGTGGAACTAAAAGATGCTGTGCCTCTTCCGAGAACTTTCTGGAGGCCCTCTTTGATCCACTGGGAAGGGCTGAGAAGTGACAGGCCCTGGAGCCCCCCCCCCCCCCCGGCCTCAGATGGATCCTTCCCAATCTTTGCCTGCCCCTCGGTGAGCCTGCCACCACGGTCCTCTTTTTGAGGTGGCGATGGTTTAATTTCCAGCTCGGCCTGTCTGCTGCTGCGGTCTTGCGACAGGTTTTCCGTCTGCTGAAGTGGAAGCAGCTGTTGATCAGGGGCACCCCTCCAACCTCTTCCTAGAGGAGCCCACACACACTGCGGTATCCTCCTGAAGTGGCCAGCTGCTCCTTTGTAGGACAAGTCTTTTTCGTTTGTATTTTTTTTTAAATTTATTTAATTATTTTAGTCAGAGTTACACACACACACATATACATCTTCCATCTGCTGGTTCATGCCCCTGGATGACTGCAACAGCTGGGGCTAGGCCAGGCCAAAGCCGGGAGCTCCACTGGGGTCTCCCACATGGGTGTCAGGGACCCACGCTCTTGGGCCATCTTCTGTTGCTTTCCCAGTCCATCAGCAAGGAGCTGGATCAGTGTGGAGCAGCCAAGACTTGAACCAGGGCCCACGTGGGATGCTGGCATTGCAGGCGGTTACCTCACCCCCTGAGCCATGGTGCTGGCCCCACGTAGGGCAATTCTTTTTTTTTTTTTTTTTTTAATTGGAGAAATAGAGTTAGAGAGGAGAGACAAAGAGAAAGGTCTTCCATCTGCTGATTCATTCCCCAAATGGCCATAAGGGCTGGAACTGGGATCCAAAGCCAGGATCCAGGAGCTTCTTGTAGGTTTCCCATGTGCGTGAGGGGCCCAAGCACTTGGGCCATCTTCCACTGCTTTCCCAGGCTATAAGCAGAGAGCTGGATTGCAAGAGGAGCAACTGAGACTCGAACTGGGCCCATTTTGGATGCCAGTGCCACAGGTGGAGGCTTAACCTTGTACACCACAGCAGCGGCCCCAGGATAATTCTTGAAATGGTTCTGCACAGACAGCTCTCTGAGCGCCTGGTCTGTCTAGAACTGACCGTGCAATTGGATTTCCTGGTGACTGACAATAGTCAGGCCTCTGGTTCTCGAGCGGTGTGTTCTTTTCAGTTCAGACTGTGAGAGTCCCCCTTGGACAGCAGAGCTCTGAGCACTTCTCTCTCCTTCTCCAGAAATGACACTGCTCTCCTCCCAGTCTTCGCTGGTGGCCCCTGCTGCGTCTGTGTCCACTGAAAACCCAGAGCAGCGGATGCTGGAGAAGCGAGCCAAGGTGGTGGAAGAACTTCTTCAGACAGAACGAGACTACATTCGGGATCTGGAAATGTGCATCGAGCACATCATGGTACCCCTGCAGCAGGCCCAGGTGGGAGCTCTGGGAGAGTTAGCTTGACCTTGAGAGTGGTCCCCGAGCCCGAAGCACGGAGAAGCGGGAGCTTTCACCCCAGAGAATGACCGTGTTTGCAGTAGAGGTTCCGGCAGCTTTTGCTGCTGCTCTCAATGCAAGGGCACAACGTACTGGCGTGTTGTCCGCTGAAGCCTCCGGCATCCTGTCACTTAGCAGGTCCGCTCTTAACCTGCCATGCTGACCCACTGCCTCCCAGGACATTTCCTGTTTCTGTGGCTCCTCAGAGCAGTTCCAGGGAGCCTGAATCCTGGTTGCGCTGGGGAGGGTGTATGTCTGTAGCGAAGTCTAGTGTGATCGGTTACCTGCTGTAACAGCTGCCCACACAGTTTATCCCAGGGACACTTTGTGTTAGTACTGGCGTGGATGTTGTGGGTAGTTAAGAAAAAGGGAACGGTGTCCCGAGGATTTCCAGTCCTCGTTTCTTGTTGCTTGGTCCCTGGGCGTGGCCTGGGGTTGCACTCTTAGGGCATTCACACCCAAACACTTCAACAGGAAGTGGGCCGGGCCAGCAGAGTTTGGATGCCAGGTGAGAATTTGTGTCCCAGTATAATTTTTGACCATGTTGGTCCCATAGTCACCTTACTGAGGTGGCAGAGGAAGGAGCAGAGGGTAGATGGGTTGAAGCTGAAGGGTGACACTAAAGATAATGCTGCATGTTTTTACTCCGGAAACTTCATGAAAGTGAATGAAGAAAGCGACCTTGAGTAGCTTTTGTATAATTCTTAAAGGAATGTCCCTCATGTGAGTGATATGTTACTATTTCATCTCCACTCACCTGCGTGTTTTGTTTCCCTTTCTCAGGCACCAAACATTGATTTTGAGGGACTTTTTGGAAATATGCAGATGGTGATCAAAGTCTCAAAGCGATTGCTGGCTGCTCTGGAAATCAGCGATGCTGTAGGTACGCGCTCCCGCCTGAGCTCCCTGGCAGAGGGCACAGGCCTTTCCGAGACTGAGTAGTTGTATTAGGAAGAAGATGCCTCACTTACTCAGTTCAGAGGTCATTTTACCCCTGCTTCTCCTTTTAGCTCATCCTGCTTCCACGTGAAGTTGTAGATGTCATACGGTGCAATGTTTTTCAAACTGGTAGTAGCAGACCCCTAGTGGGTCATGGATTGTACCTAGTATATATTTTTCATTAAAACATAAAAGAAAATATCAAATTGTACCATAACTAGCAACTACTCTTTCCATTTTATGTGTATGTATAATGAGTTATGATTTAAACCTATTTATGTGGGTCATTATCAAAAATGTTTGGAAAACATTCATCTAGGCTTTTTAATTTTTTTTTAAAGATTTATTTATTTATTTGGAAGGCAGAGCCACATAGACAAAGGGAAAGATAGACATCTTCCATCCACTAGTTTGCCACAAATAACAAGGGCTGGACTGGGCCAAAGCCAGGAGCCAGAAATTACATCTGGGTCTCCCACGTAGGCTGCAGGGGCCTGAGCACTTGAGGAATCTTCCGCTGTTTTCCAGCCCACACAGCAGGGAACTAGAATGGAAGCCCAGCAGCTGGGGCTTGAACCAGCGCTCATGGGATGCCAGCATCACAGGTGGTAGTTTAACCCACTGAACCACAATGTCCAGCCTCCACCCCGTCTAGTTCTTAGAAACAAGGGAATTTATTAGTTATCTATTGCTGTGTAATCACTCGCCCTGAAACTTAGCAGCTGAAAATAAACATCCCACAGTTTCTGTGAGTCAGGAACCTGTAAGTGGCTTAGCTGGAGGTCAGGCCCTGTGTGAGGCTGCAGTCTGGCTCTTGGCCGTCATCTGAGGCTCAGAGATCCGCTTCCAGGAAAGCTCACTCAACTCCTCAGGGCTCGTTTCCTTCCATTTGAGCCTCTCTTCTTGACATGGCTGAGTCATGAGCCACCCAGAGGAGTGATCCAGGTAAGGGAGGAAGCCTGAGACAGGAGTCGCAGTATCTTTTATGATTCCATCTCAGAAATGACCTATCATCACTTCCGCCGGCCTGGTGCAGTGCGGGAGGGGATGTCCTAGGCTTTGCTGTTTCGTTGCAGTCATAGTTACAAGATGGCACCACGGCTCCAGCCATCCCGCCACACACCTGACAGCATCCAGCACGAGGAAGAAGCAACCCTCTGTTGCTTTAAGTCTGCATGTGCCTTCCAGAGCTCCCCCATCCTGCTTCTCCTTATTTTTCATTGGCAGAATCGGTCACCTGCGTACATCTAAACTGATCACTAGAAGGGGGTGTGGGGTCCTGGTGTTGGCTTAGACCGGGCTCTGTATCTGACTTAGCTAGAAGAGAAGGAACTAGGAACAAAATTAGGGCTCTGTCCCTGGAAGGAAGGGGAACGGACTGTGGATGTTAACGGGTGGTGCAGGGTTGTTAATGTTTCCTGAGTGCTTGTGGTACATCACACACCCTCTCACGTACGTCAGACTGGATCTCAGCGGTTCCCTACGACAACCCTGTGAGGTCTAGTTACTCTTAATCTTCAAAAAAAAAAAAAATATTTATTTGATAGGCAGAGTTATACAGAGGGAGAGAAAGCTTCCATCCTCTGGTTCCCTCCCCAAATGGCCACAATATATGGGGCTGCGCCAGGCCAGATGAGGAGCCTGAAACTCCATCTGGGTCTCCCACATGGGTGGCAGGGGGACACGGACTTGGGCCCCCTTTGCTGCTTTCCCAGGCCCATTAGTAGGGAGCTGGATTGAACTGGCGCCCAGATGGGTCGTCAGCATTGCAGGCTGCAGCCCCACCTGCTGCACCACAAAGTCGCCCCCACTCCTCTCTTACAGAAGAGGAAATGGGCTGAGGGGAAGTGATTTGCCCAACGGCAGGTAGTCAATGGGGATGGTCTTCAGACTCAGGTCCTTCTGTCGTCCTGCCTCGGGCCTCAAAGTCTTAGCACCTGTGAGTTTGTCACGTTAGGGAGCTATCAAGAACTTGAAATTTCACCACCACTCAAGCAGAAGCCACCAATGTCACCAGATTCTTATGTCGGTCACCATCCTGGGACAGACTCACTGCTTCACCTTGTTATTTAGGGCCTCACAAAGAAGTGCATATCACACGTGGGGTGGGTTGGTTTGTTTGTTTTTAAAGATTTATTTATTTATTTGAAAATCAGATACACAGAGAGAGGAGAGGCGGGGTGGGGGGGTGGTCTTCTATCCACTGGTTCACTCTCCAAGTGGCTACAACAGCCAGAGCTGCGCTGATCCAAAGCCAGGAGCCAGGAGTTTCTTCTGGGTCTCCCACGCAGGTGCAGGAACCCAAGAACTTGGGCTATCTTCTGCTTTCCCAGGCCATAGCAGAGAGCTGGATCAGAAGTGGAGCAGCCGGGTCTCGAACCAGTGTCCATGAGGGATGCCGGCACTGCAGGCCAGGGCGTTAACCCGCTGTACCACAGCGCCGGCCCCTTGTTTATTTTACATGATAGTTATTTTAAAATAATGTTTCATTTGTAGTCCTATGTATTGAATTTATGCACAAAGTTAGAAACTACTGCCATGGAAAGATTTCTCCACCCGTGTGGAGATTTTCTTGAAGATGAGAGCAAGGGGATGCTTGCAAGCCTCTGACCACATTCCCCGCCTGCGGAGTGCTGACAGCTGCCTCGCTCCGCCTGCCTGGAAAGGAACTGTAGGCTGTGTCTCAGGGACAAACTGTGCATGTGTGCTGAAAAGTAAACACGTGGATACGGGGCTTCTTAACAGCTTTAAAAATAATGGATTTAGGTTATGTCATGGAATTTTCTTGATAATTTGATGGTAGTCTTATCATTTCTTATGTATGATTTAATGATAACTGCAGTTTTGCTCAGAGCCCTCTCTCTGTGTGTGTATGTTCCAAAGGGCCTGTGTTCCTTGACCAGCGGGATGACCTTGAGGGGACCTACAAGGTCTACTGCCAGAACCACGATGAGGCCATCTCTCTGCTGGAGGTCTACGAGAAGGACGAGAAGATCCAGAAGCATCTTCAGGATGCCTTGGCGGACCTGAAGTAGGATCCTGACCACCTCCCATCCGTCACTGACCCCTGCGCTCCCTCCCAGAAGTCACTCCCTTGTAGTTGGACTTTTATGACATCTGCCTGTCCTGTTTTGAACTTAAATGATATATTACTGTAGATCCTGCCGTGTAGCTGCCTTTCTCCTGTTTTAAGTGGCTTCCTGCTTAAACTGTTATCCCTGAAAGTCACTCTGATCTATAAATACGAAGCATCAAGTGAGCGTTTTTAGGTAAAGATCAACCAGGAAGATAGTTTGGTCCAAATAAACAAGAGTGTAGGTGAGAAGACAGGCACTACTATTCTTGACCTCCATGGTCTTAAGGAGGCAAAGTAAAATGAGTGAGTAGGTCAGAGTGAAGGCAGGTGCTACCTGCTTTTTATCCGTGTGCTTCTTGCCTGCCCAGCAAGTGTGTGTGCTCTGAGAAGCATGTGGAGACCAGCAGCATCTCGCTAACGAGTTCTCTTCTTCTTTCCATGACTGCTGCCCCACAGGAGTCTGTACAATGAATGGTAAGTTCCCTTGTTCCTTGGTGTATGAGCCCATTTCTTCAGTGTGTTTTCTAACCTTTAAAAGATGAACTTGACTTTTTTCTTCCTTTATTGGTAGAAACCTAGAAGTAGACTTTCCTTGCTATATTTTCTTGATAGCACCCACCACACACCCACCATTTACGGGTTTCTTTCTTGCCTGTCCTCTCACCAAGGCAAGAACTCGTTTTGGTCACTGTGAAATCTCCAGCACCCAGACTGGTGCCCAGCACGTATTTGTTGAATGTGTGGAACGGGAAGGAGAAATAAAAGAACAGCTATGTTTAGGCACAGCACGCTGGCTGACAGTTGATTGACGTCTTCTCTCCCTTCTCCTACAGGGGGTGCACAAACTACATTAACCTGGGCTCCTTCCTCATCAAGCCGGTCCAGAGAGTGATGCGTTACCCACTGCTGCTAATGGAGCTGCTGAATTCCACACCAGAGTCCCACCCAGATAAAGTGCCTTTAACCACTGCCGTCCTCGCCGTCAAGGAGATCAACGTGAACATCAACGAGTACAAACGGCGGAAGGACCTGGGTGAGGAAAGCGAGGCCGCTGAAAAGGACGTCTGCCCTTTGAGAAGGCCTTTCCTTCCCAGGGTCGGGCAGGGCGGGCGGCCGGCCGGGCCGGGGGGGGGGGGGGGGGGGGGGGAGGAAGTAGGAGAACTGGGTGAACAATGAAAGCACCATTTGGAACACTGGAGAGAGGCATCTGTGATCAGCTCGCGGCCGTCAGAGTCTCCGCGGGAGCTGTGAGGGCAGGTGGGAGCCTGGTGGGCTGGAAGAGTTCTCCGAGCGTGGGAGACTCCCGCCTCGCCCACCTGAGGAAGGCAGGCCTTTTCCGCCTGTGTGACGCCTTACTGTCCCTGCATGTCTGATTGGTTGTCTCCAGAAAACTGTTCTGCCCCTCCCTCTGGGTTTCTTCATTCCCACCCACACCCAGCGACCTTCTCTCCCCTCCCAGTGCTGGTGCCTGAATACCCACTCCTTTACAACACAGAACGGACTGAACCCTTTTCTCTTTCATCAGATTTCTTATTGAAGTCCTAACTTGAACACTAAAGCATGTTGGCTCTGCTACATTGATTTATTATTTTTATCCTCAAAGAACCTGTAATATAGTATAAGCTTTTTGCCTATCTTTTTCTCTATTCTCCATACTTTATATATTTTGTCATTTTATTTCTGTAGTTACTTAAAATCACTTTCCCTGTCTTCTATTTCAACCACATCACCTATATTAGGATGTAGTATATACAGTATTGACTGTGGCTTTTTTTTTAAGATTATTTATTTATTTGAAAGGCAGAGCAACAGAAACAGATACCTCCCATCCAGTGATTCACACCTCAACTGCCCACAACAGCTGGGGCTGAGCCAGGCTGAAATCAAGAACCTGGGAGTCCCATGTGGGTAGGCAGGGACTGAAGTACTTGAGCCATAACCCGATGCTTCCTGGGTGCATTAGGAGGGTGGTGGATGGGAGGCAGGGAGGCAGGACTGGAACCAGCACTCCGATATGGGTGCTGGCATCACAAGCAGCCGTACCACAATGCCTACTTGATGGTGGCTTCTGAAACTCTGCCAGCTGGCCTTTCTCTTGGTTCTTATCTCCCAATGTAACATAGTCTATTTTTTTTTATTAAATTTTTAAATATTTCCTTGTATTTGAAAAGAGAGACAGACGGATGGAGAGAGATCTTTCATCTGCTGGTTCATTCCCCAAATACTTGCAACAGCCAGGGCTAGGCCAAGCTGAAGCCAGCAGCCCACAATTCAGTCTGGGTCTCCCGTGTGGGTGGCAGAGACCCAAGTACTTAAGCCATCGTCTGCCGCCTCCAGAGTGCACCTGAGTTAGGAGGAAGGTGCATTGGAAGGGAGTAGCCAGCACTCAAGCCAGGCAGTCTGTGGGATACAGGGATCCCAGGCAGCGACAACTGCTGCCCCAATGCTGACCCCAGTCTTCGTCTTCTGCAGCCACATCGTCTCTCCTTGCTGCCGCCCTACCTTCCCTGTGCCGCCCTTCTGTCGCCTCTAGGCTTTCCTGCAGCTTGTACCTGATGCACAGCTCAGTAGTTAATCATGTAACCACTGAACAGCATTTTACTGTAAGGTGGTCTTACAAGGCCGGTATTATTGCTTTTTACATTTTATTTAAGCCTCATTTTCCTTTCCAATAAGTCTAATGACTTATCAATGTTGTACCTTAATTGACAGACCCAGGTGTCGGACACAGAAATTTTCTCGACTCCAAACCTCGGGTTCTTGTCGTTGTATCTTGGCTGGCTCTCCTCCCTGTCTCGGCCTTCTCCCAGCTGCCTGCATTCTGTTTTCCAGGGACCATGAGTGTCCATAAGTGGCCACGTGGATTAGTGTTTTGTCTGCTCAGTTATAAGCTCATTGGTGGCGAGCACTAGCTCCATTTCGGCTGTTGGTCCCGTTCTGTGGCTCATGTGGTACTGTACTGGCTCGGGATAGTGCTTGACTCACTGGACTCTCTCCTTAGTCCTCAAGTACCGTAAGGGGGACGAAGACAGCCTCATGGAGAAAATTTCCAAACTGAACATCCACTCCATCATCAAGAAATCCAACCGGGTTAGCAGTCACCTGAAGCACCTCACCGGCTTTGCTCCTCAGGTGAGGCCCCGCCCGCGAAGGCTCAGCGCCCGTGGGCAGCGTCTCCGTGCCCTGCGGGGCAGCTTGCCTATGCCTCCTCTCGGTTCTGCAAGCTGGTGGACGCGGCTCCACTGCTGCTGGTTATGTGAATCCCATGCAGCCTACTGTCCGTGCCTTGGTGAGCCGCTTCCGCTGCGTACAGAGGCCAAGTAGGGGCCAGATCAGTTGACATGATTGTTGTGGTTTTCAGCTCCCCTAAGGAGCTTGTCATCTATCTGGGGAGACAAAAGTAAATTTGTAGCTGGAAGGGACTGAGGAGATCACCTAGTTGGACAGCTCACGTTACCCACAAGGAACTGCGAAGTGTAAGAATGAATGTGAAAAACAGTTCAGCGACAATGCTAGTAGAACTGAAGTCCCCAGACTTCTTCCTGCCCTACCACATACATGCGATGTGCTTAGTGGAAAATGCAACCCAAAAATATTCATTTGCCAAATTTTGTGTTTTGTTCTGTAAATGCTGTGGTGCTTAGAAAATAAGAGGCGAGTGTGAGCTTTGTGTTGATTTCAGAGATCATCTGAAACGTAAAGGCGGGGGGACAGTTTGGCCAGGAGCCATGGAGAAGGCAGCCTGACTCCCGCTGAGGATTCCCATCAGAAGCAGGGGGAGGGCGGTTTGGCCTCCGAGGTCTTCCAGGGCCACGCAGAGGTGCTAGAACCCAATTCAGTACGATTCAGGGGAACAGCAGTTTTAAGCATTGAATGAAAGATGTTAAAGTCTGCCAATAAGATAAAGAGTCCAGATTTGCTAACAGCACTTTCGTGTTGTGAACAGATAAAAGATGAAGCATTTGAAGAAACAGAAAAGAACTTCCGAATGCAAGAAAGATTGATTAAATCTTTTATCCGGGACCTGTCCCTCTACCTCCAGCATATTCGGGTGAGTGTTGGCATTCCTCCAGGTAGAGTCATGTATAGTGGAATTCTGTTTTCCTGTCCATGTAGCATATTATGTAACAAACGCTCAGTGCTCTGAACTCTAACGACCAGCTTACGACATTTTTTATTGGTATCCTACATATTATTTAAACAGCATTAAGATCATGATAGTAATTTTTTCAATGTGTGGGAGTGGTTTTAATCTGAGGAAGAGACAGAGCTCCCATCTACTGGTTCACTAACCAAATTCCTGCAGTGGCTGAGCTCAAGTCTGATACTCAGTTCAAGTCTCCCATGTGGCTGTTGGGAACCCAATTACATGGGTCATTGCCAGTGCCTCTTAGGGCCCACATTAGCAGGAAGTGGGAATCAGAAGCCAGAGCACCAGGTATTCTGATGGGATGTGCACATGTAACTGTTTGAACCACTAGGCCAAATACCTTCCACTGATCCTTGTTTTATGCCTTATTTGAAAGGAAGTATGGCAGAGAGAGATCTTCCACCTGGTGGTTCACTCCCCAGATGGCTGCCAGGAGCTCCATCCAGGTCTCCCACATGACTGGCAGGGAACCAAGTACTTGGGCCATTTTCTGTTGCCTTCCCAGGTGCATTAGCAAGAAGCAGTGTGGCCAGGTCTCAAACCTAGTATGGATTGGTGTCATAGTGACAGCTTAACCCACTGTACCTGTTGTAGTTTTAAAGTAGCTTGCCTAGTTCTTTGTTTTCATCTCCCACCCTGTCACATTTTTACCATCTGCTATACCTAATTTTATCATCTCATATGTTACTATTATTTTTCTTAAATAATTGATTCAGCTAGAATTCAGTTCTTCTAAATATCAAATACTATATAGCTTCTCAGGAGAACATTGACAAAGGCCAGCATTGTGGCATAAAAGGCAAAGCTGCCTCCTGTGATGCAAGTATCCCATTTGGACACTGGTTCAAGTCCTGGCTGCTCCACTTCCAAGCCAGCTCCCTGCTAATGTACCTGGGAAAGCAGAGGAAGGTGGCCCAGGTACCTGGAACCCTGCAGCCATGTGGAGACTGGGACGAAGCTCCTAGCTTTGGCATGTCCCTGAACCGGCTATTGTAGTCATTTGGGGAGTGAACCTGTGGGTGGAAGATCTGTCTCTTCCTCTCTCTAACTCTGCCTTTCAGATAAGGAAATAAATCTAAAACATGTGCACACACAACATTGACTAAGGTGAAAAACTTGACAAGACTAGTATTGGGGCAACTGTCAAGTGTAGTTCCTTAGTTCTTTCCCACGTGAGAACTCTGATAGCCCTCAGATGGTTTCTCACCCCATCTCCTTGATGTGTAGCAGGTCTCCATGGAAACGGATAATAGTATTTTGAGGTGATACATGTAGCATTGACAGCCATTTGATCAGTGAGTCTATTTGGTTCCAATTGCCAACAGTAGAAATTGTTGAACAGCTTGCAAATCAGAGAGCAAGCCAGTGAGAACGTGAAGCCGAGGGGTGGTGATCCTAGTATTTGGCATCCACCTTGGCACAGGGGCTCTTCTGGAACGTCACAGTATTTCCTTGAAGAAAGTAGGACATCATGGTTTACATTAGTCCTCCCACCCAACAGGAAGCCGATTCCCCCAGCTTCTCCTTCTGACGAAGCTGACTGTGCTCACACAAAGAGAAGACTCACTCATCAAACCAGCAGACTTGACACTCGTCGATTTTGCTTAGGGAACGTGTTTCCCTTTAGAACATACAAATGGAGTCTTTAGTACAAATTGGGTTTTGAGTCACTATCAAAACAGTAGGCCTTCCCTGAGAGTAGAGCGGGCAGAAGTTCAGCATTATCCCAGCTTGGGAGTAAAAAGCTGTCTCTAATAAGTAGGTTACCAGGTGGTCTCTCAGTTATTCAGTAAATAACTGAGTAACAACAGACACATCTCTGCCTTTGGGGAGCTCACATTTTAATAAGGGGTGGAAGGAGGAGATGATAAGCACAGGTGAACCACAATGCACTGCGCGGGGCACTATTGCCTGGATGGACTGGAACCAGCAGACAGGCACAAACCATCAGAGCAGGGGAGGGGGTTGTGACAGTCCATAGGGCAGTTACAGCTGTTGTCTTTGAAGGTGACATTGTCACCATAATCCTGTAGAATTTTTAAGATTTCTATGAAAAGGAGAGAGATTTTCCATATTCTGGTTTACTCCCCCAAATGGCCAAAACATCTAGTACTGGGCCAGGCCAAATCCAGGAGTCTGGAACTCCATCTGGGTCTCCCACTTGGGTGACAGGGACCCAAGTATGTGGCCGCCTTCTGCTGCTTTCCAGGGCACGTTAGTGGGGCACTGGATCAGAAGTGGAGCAGCTGGGGCTGGAATCAGTGCCCAAATGGGATGCCAGCATCTTAGGCAGATTAACCTGCTATGCCACCATGCCAGCCCCTATAAAACACTCTCGGGTCTCATTTTTGACTTGAGTAAATTAAAACCCTCACATTAGGGATATAGAGAAGAATGCTAACACACAATTTCAGAAAAACCAGAGGGCTTTTAATAATCTTGGGCTTTCTCTGTGCCCCATCAGCCATGGTTCTAAGAGCATACTTGGTTCCAAGCTAAAATACCACTCTAGAAAGAAAAACTGAAGTCATGGTCTGTTTAGTCCCAGACTGTGACATGCAGTGAAGGCCAGAAAGTGCTGCTTGTTCTTAGTTGTGTCTCGTTTCGAACTGGCTCCAGGAATCGGCGTGTGTGAAGGTGGTGGCTGCTGTGAGCATGTGGGATGTGTGCATGGAGAGGGGCCACCGCGACCTGGAGCAGTTCGAGAAGGTGCATCGCTACATCAGCGACCAGCTCTTCACAAACTTCGTAAGTTTTTCTTGAAGATTTATTCATGGCTGGCGCCACAGCTCAAAGGGCTAATCCTCCGCCTGCGGCACTCTGGGTTCTAGTCCCGGTTGTTCCTCTTCCAGTCCAGCTCTCTGCTGTGGTCCGGGAGGGCAGTGGAGGATGGCCCAAGTGCTTGGGCGACCAGGAGAAGCACCTGGCTCCTGGCTTCAGATCAGCGAGATGCACCTGCCGCAGCGGCCATTGCGGGGTGAACCAATGGAAAAGGAAGACTTTTTTCTCTCACTGTCCACTCTGCCTCTCAAAAAAAAATTTATTCATTTATTTGAAAGGCGGAGTTAGAATTGGTTCACTCCCCAGAGGGCCATAACGGCTGGATCTGAAGCCAGGAGCTTCTTCCAGGTCTCCCACACGGGTACAGGGGCCCAAGGACTTGGGCCATCCTCCACAGCTGCAGAGAGCGTGATCGGAAGTGGAGCAGCCGGGACTTGAACCGGCACCCATAGGGGATGTCAGCATTGCATGTGGCCTCTTCACCTGCTACGCCACAGTGCGGGTCCCCGTAAGTGACTTGCTTCAGCCCCCTGCCAGGAGCAGCAGGGCTTTTATTCAGGACACAGGTAGGACCTACGTGGATTCAGACTGTTTGAAAAGAAATTGATCCCAAACTTTTTAGAGTACAAACTAGGAAAGGAAAACTGGGAAATTTATAACTTAAAAAGGAATAGTTATCAATGGTAATGCTGGATAATTCTTACAGTTAAGATGTAACTCATAGGCCGGCGCCGCGGCTCACTAGGCTAATCCTCCGCCTTGCGGCGCCGACACACCGGGTTCTAGTCCCGGTCGGGGCGCCGGATTCTGTCCCGGTTGCCCCTCTTCCAGGCCAGCTCTCTGCTGTGGCCCGGGAGTGCAGTGGAGGATGGCCCAAGTGCTTGGGCCCTGCACCCCATAGGAGACCAGGAGAAGCACCTGGCTCCTGCCTTTGGATCAGTGCAGTGCACCGGCCGCGGTGGCCATTGGAGGGTGAATCAACGGCAAAGGAAGACCTTTCTCTCTGTCTCTCTCTCTCTCACTGTCCACTCTGCCTGTCAAAGAAAAAAAAAAAAGATGTAACTCATAAAGAGTATCGAAGGCCCAATTGCTTAGAATTTCCTAAGTCGATATAGCTGGGATCACTCACCTGTGACCAGAACAACGGGGTGGGGTGTGACGTGTGCAGACTTGGGAGCTCACAGCTATTAGAAAGGCACGTGTCATTGGCAGTACTTCTTTAATACTCTACCCTCTCCTTCCTGGAAGGATTAGAGAAATATCAATTAGGAAAGGTATCATGGGGTGGTGGAACTTGCTCTACCCCAGACTTTGGTAACAGCTGGATTTGAAGTTAAATGCAAGACATGTGCACGTTACCATGTGGGCCGCATAGCTTAGCATCAGTCCACTAGGGGCCAAGCTGGGGTGAGCAGTTTCTTTAAGCATTTTGGCCCAAGACTCCTCGTTTAGAGTACGGTGAGAGGCTTTGTGGACCACATGAGTGGGTACTGTTTGATGGGGGCGGGGGCGTCTGCAGGAGCTGTAGTTTGGGCACTGGGAGCAAAACAGGTGGCATAGGACACAGCTCGATCAGCCTTGAGCGCCTGCGAGAGTCACACCAGGCGTGTACCTTTCTCTTGCTGCAGAAGGAGAGGACGGAGCGCCTGGTCATCGCGCCCCTGACGCAGCTGCTGAGCATGTTCACGGGACCCCACAAGCTGGTGCAGAAGCGCTTCGACAAGCTGCTGGACTTCTACAACTGCACCGAGCGGGCCGAGAAGCTGAAGGACAAGAAGACGCTGGAGGAGCTGCAGTCGGCCCGCAACAACTACGAGGCACTCAACGCGCAGCTGCTGGACGAGCTGCCCCGCTTCCAGCGCTGCGCCCAGGGCCTCTTCGCTAACTGCATCCACGGCTACGCCGAAGCCCACCGCGACTTCGTGCAACAGGCGCTGGAGCAGCTGCAGCCTCTGCTCTCTGTGAGTACGCGGGAGCGTCGGGTGGCATCGGGTCACGCCTGGCGGGGATCCTCTCCAGGAGCTGTTTTTGGGCCCAGGGATCTTTTATCTGTGTTCTCTCCTCGTCTCCCGGCTCCAGTTACTCAAAGTCTCCGGCAGAGAGGGGAACCTCATCGCCATCTTCCACGAGGAGCACAGCAGGGTGCTGCAGCAGCTGCAGGTCTTCACCTTCTTCCCGGAGTCTCTGCCCGCCACCAGGAGGCCCTTTGAGAGGAAAACCGTGGACCGCCAGTCTGCCCGGAAGCCCCTGCTGGGCCTGGTGAGTGGCACCCAGGAAAGGGTAGCGCAGTCTCACGCTCTGGAGCCAGACCTCCCGTCCAGCGCGTTACCCTCTCCTGTTGTTAGCAACAGCTGAAGGGTCAGAAACCGCCGGGCACGCAGTGAGCAACGTGTGGATACCGTCGTCAGCCACACCAGCGGCCCCACTCTGTCTGCAGTGAACAGTTGAATGGGAGCTTGAGCGTCTCCGACTCCCTGGAGAGGAGCGACGGAGCTCTCACCACGGTGCTTGCTGGGCAGTCCCCACGTGCCCACTGGCTGCGACAGCCGATCATGCACTTGAGGCTGCCCTGGGGGAAGTCTTTGTAGGTGTTAGTGCCACACAGCCAAAGAATCAGCAAAGTGACCTGTTGAATAAAGGAGCTGATTACAGGGCAGCGTAATTCTGCCAGGCCTCCCTATTTTCATCACATACGGGGAAAGGGTGCTTTTAACTCCATTTTCCCATGAACTGTTTACATTTTGGTACAGAAATTTTGAAAACCATGCCTGAGATCTTCAGAACATTCCATGGAAAACACATGTTATAAAAGTATGCATGGGTTTCAAAAGTTTTTTGCAACAAAAGAAGCATCTTTTAGTTCAATTTTTAACTCAGTTCTTCCCTTTTTTTTCTTTTTTCTTTTTTTTTTTTTGACAGGCAGAGTGGACAGTGAGAGAGAGAGAGACAGAGAGAAAGGTCTTCCTTTGCCGTTGATTCACCCTCCAATGGCCGCCGCGGCCGGCGCACCGCACTGATCTGATGGCAGGAGCCAGGTGCTTCTCCTGGTCTCCCATGGGGTGCAGGGCCCAAGTACTTGGGCCATCCTCCACTGCACTCCCGGGCCATGGCAGAGAGCTGGCCTGGAAGAGGGGCAACCGGGACAGAATTCGGCGCCCCGACCGGGACTAGAACCCGTGTGCCGGCGCCACAAGGTGGAGGATTAACCTAGTGAGCTGCGGCGCCTGCCAGTTCTTCCCTATCTTAATAGCTATGGGCTAAGATCCACCAGATCAGAGAGGTTCACGCTCAGGGAGCCCACAGCATTTTTGCCCCCATACGAATGGAGAAGGCAAGTTAGGGGAAGTTTCAGTTGTTTGAGTTAATCTAGCGAATCAAAAAGTATATTTCTAGGTAATGTTTCAGTCACTTTTGTCACAAAGCAGATGTGTGTGAAGTTTTTCTTTGTGGCTACATAGGCGCCATGACAGCCTTGATTCTTACCTGGCTGAGGGGCACGGCTGCATTTCTGAGACCGCCCGCCCCTGGGAGTCACCTTGGCCGGGCTTTGCTGATGGCATTTCCTGGTCGCCTTCCAGCCTGGGTACGTGCTGCAGTCAGAAGAGCTCCGGGCCTCGCTCCTGGCCAGGTACCCCCCTGAGAAACTCTTCCAAGCAGAGCGGAACTTCAATGCTGCTCAGGACCTGGACGTGTCTCTGTTGGAAGGCGACTTGGTGGGCGTGATCAAGAAGAAAGACCCCATGGGCAGTCAGAACCGCTGGCTGATCGACAACGGAGGTAAGTTTCAGACATGAGAGGAATGTAACTGAATGAGGAAAAAGTGACTTTGGCTGCACCTGAATCCTGTCTGGGCCAGAAAATACACAACAGAGTCTTTGATTAAAGAGAAAATAGCCCTAGAAGTTCTCTCTTTCTCTAGAGGGTGTAATTCCCAGATTAGCGAAACAAAGCCAGGGTTTGCTTGTGTTTCTGTTTTGACAAATTCCAGAGGGAGACTCCGGTAATCACCTTGCAAGCTCTTGCCCTGTGTCCCAGCTCACAGGCTCACGCCTCTGGGAATCCCGTTCCCTTCCCTGTCCCAGCGAGCCTCCGGTTTCTACAAATTGGTCTTGTGTGGGGGAGTTAAAAACCTGGGGGCTTTTTGAAAAGATTGCCACTGTAATACACAGTTCCACTGTCCAGCTCTTCAGAGAGCAACTTTAAAAACAGCTCCCAACTCTGGGCGGGGAGAGAACTTCCTGGAGTACAAAGACTGACATCCACCTACGCTGTTTTCAGTAGTTATGAAAGTTAGGAAGCTCTGGGAAAATCCTTTTTTCCCAGACTGCATTTGCCAAAACGTGAACTAAGTGACATGAAAGTAGACATAATTGTAATTGACCTTTCTTGCTGTGATTCAATGAGGATACTTTACGGAGTTCAGGGGAAGACAGGGAAATTTTGAAGTCCACGCGTGCTTTGCCACGGAGCCGTTTGCTGCCCCAGACCCTGTGGGGGGTGTCAGGAAACAGCATATGCATAGCCACCTACCCCAAATCAAAAACGGTCTGAATTCCACAGCATCGAGCCTAAGCGCTTTCTGGAACCTAGAATATGGCTTGGTTTCTTGACGATCGTCTTGTGAGCTTTTTCAAGACTTCTGCTTACCCAGCCTGATGAAGGTTGGAAGTGGGAAAAGGAGGGAGCCTCCTGGGGGGCCCGGCGGTGACAACCCCTGCTGGATGCACACCTTGTGAAGTCCCATGCTGCTTGGGGAGTGGCTCTCTCCTTGGACTCCCTCCCCGCCACCCCCCCCCCCGTCCCCCCAAGGAGAAACAGCAAGAAGCCCGAGTGCTGGACACTGCAGCCCCCTCCGTGTGCCCAGGGGCTCCTCTCCCCCCTCAGCACATGTTCATGGAGGGCTGACCACGTGCAGGAAATAAAAAGGTGTCAAAATACAGTTCTACTTAAAAGTTTGTGGGAAAAGGGAAGAGAAATTTGGGTGCAAACATGCATAGTATTTTCATAACATACACTGTTCCTGGATAGTTATGGGCCTAGATTGCAGATTTTTTTGAACCAAAATCATCTTTTAATTTCATTTTCTATAAGCTTTCATAAAATAAATAGGTCATTATAAACCACAGAGGTAGAATAAAGTGTCCAAATATAGATTTTAAAAAAACAAACAAGGTGGAAATGCAGATTACCTGCTTGGGTCAGGAGCAGCGTGCACGTCCTGCGGTCACGCCGTGGCCGTGGTTTCTGTAAGTGCACAGCAGCTGAACTGTTCGCGGGGAAGGGAGGACGGACTCCCATCCACCTCATGCACACCCGGGAGCCCTTGGCCCTGGCAGCTGGAAGTCCTAGCAGCGTCCCACTCCCACAGCAGCCCCGCAGGAACGGTCATTGCATAAGGCTTAGGAGCAGTGATTGCTAAGGGGAGAAAAATATGACGACCCAGGGGCCAGCGCCGCGGCTCACTAGGCTAATCCTCCGCCTTGCAGCACCGGCACACCGGGTTCTAGTCCCGGTCGGGGCACTGGATTCTGTCCCGGTTGCCCCTCTTCCAGGCCAGCTCTCTGATGTGGCCTGGGAGTGCAGTGGAGGATGGCCCAAGTGCTTGGGCCCTGCACCCCATGAGAGACCAGGATAAGTACCTGGCTCCTGCCATCGGATCAGCGCGGTGCGCCGGCTGCAACGCGCCAGCTGTGGTGGCCATTGGAGGGTGAACCAACGGCAAAGGAAGACCTTTCTCTCTGTCTCTTTCTCACTGTCTAACTGCCTGTCAAAAAAAAAAAAAAAATGACCCAGAAGTGGAAAACCAGCATCAATGCCATAAATAAAAAATTACTTGTAGATACAATGAACTGCCCTTCCCCCCCCCCCCCCCCCCCCGCAAGAAGAAGGCAGAGTCACATGCTGGATTGTTCCTAAGGTTCACGGGACCATTTCCTGTCACTGTCTCAGCACCCAATCCCGTGCAAAAGCCATGACAGGCCCCACCCCCACGGCACACCCAGCCCTTCGCTGCAGGGGATGGCCTGTGTGTCAGTTCTCAGCCCTCCTAGTACGGGGGACTGTCACGTACGGCCCACGTTCCTGAAAGGATGCACATGGTGGGGTGGGGCAGGGAGGCCACCTCCTTAACCCAGGCTTGCCCTCTGGCGATGCCCTGCCAGCTCCCTTCCTGCCCGCTGAGAGCTCTCGCTGTGCTTCTCCTGCAGTCACCAAAGGCTTCGTGTACAGCTCCTTCCTGAAGCCCTACAACCCTCGCCGCAGCCACTCGGACGCCTCCGTGGGCAGCCACTCCTCCACCGAGTCGGAACACAGCAGCGCCTCCCCACGGGCCCCCCGGCAGAACAGCGGCAGCACCTTGACCCTCAACCCCAGCAGCATGGCCGTGGCCTTCACTTCAGGGCCTTGTCAGAAGCAGCCTCAGGACGCATCTGGGGCAAAGGAAGGCGACCCAGGAGCGGGCAGTGCACCTCCAAGCCTGGCTGGCTCAGAGGGTGGGCTGTCAGCACCGGACGCTGCCTCCCTGCCCAGGATAGGGGACGCTGCGGAGGTGGCCAGAGACGTAAGGCAGCCCGCTGCCACCCTGAGGAGCTACCGCAGCCCCGGGCACCCCGAGCTGGTGACTCACTCCATGCCAGGGCGAAACGGGCAGGGCCGAGACCTCGCGAAAGGATGCACGAGGGCAGCCCAGGCCCTGGAAGACAGAAAAGAGGAGCCAGCAAGCATGGAGGCGGAAGGCAACCAGGTGAGTCCCACGTCCCTCCCGGCCCTGCGCCGTGGGGGCGGGAGCGGGCCAAGAGGACGCACACAGGAGGGAGCCGCGGTGCCTTCCACAGCATCACTCCATGGGCTCCTCGTGGCCCTGGGCAGTCAAAGGTGTCACAGTGAAAACGTTAGCCATTCTTCCACCTCACCCACTGTTGTGAGCAGAGGCAGCTGGGTAACCCACCATTTATCCAAAGCTAGAGATGAAATAAGAAATTAGACTTTAGGGGCCGGCGCCGCGGCTCAATAGGCTAATCCTCCGCCTGCAGCACCGGCACCCCGGGTTCTAGTCTTGGTCACCCCTCTTCCTGTCCAGCTCTCTGCTATGGCCTGGGAGTGCAGTGGAGGATGGCCCAAGTCCTTGGGCCCTGCACCCCATGGGAGACCAGGAGAAGCACCTGGCTCCTGGCTTTAGATCAGCACGATGCACCAGCCATTGAAGGGTGAATGGCAAAAGGAAGACTTTTCTCTCTCTCTCACTGTCCACTCTGCCTGTTAAAAAAAAAAAAAAAAAATTAGACTTCAGGAATGAAATCTGGGCTCTATTTCAGTTTTATCTTCCCCTTCACACCTTGTGGCCTCCAGACCTTGGTGGGCCACGGCCACTCTCAGGTTCATGGCCAAGGAATTGCCTTGTGCCTCTGCTGCTTGGCTTTCTCCCGCAGCAGCGGGTCTCTGTGGCTCACCTTCGGCACCAGACTTCGTGGAGAGCGCAGCCCTGCTGATGCCTGCTTCCCAAGCCAGTCCCTGGGCTGCATCTGAGCTCGGCGCATACTCGCTCGGCTTTGGCGCTGCTCTTAGTACCTGCAGCCCAGGGCAGACGGCCCAGGCCTGGAGCCACCAAAGGGCCTGTTCCCGAACACAGTGAGGGAGAAGATGGGACTTTCTCAGATTCTGAGGCTGAGCAAGGAGCTTGGTTCTAGCCTCATCAACTCCTGCATGTGACAAGGTCGCAGGCCCCAAGGTGTCTGTCCTGGGCCCCTGGCTTCCCTCCTGATCTAGCACTCCTCTCGCTTTGTGTTGTGTCTTTGTGACACCGAGACATTTTCCCTCTTTGTTGACTCTTTTAGTTCAGAATTCCTGTGCACCCTGGTGGGGCATCCTGTCTCCTGTGTTTTCATATTGACTGACACTTCCTTAAGGGGACTCTGAGTGACAAGGTTGTGAATTTTGGTTTTGTTTGCATCTGCCCCGTCTGTTGTGGTAGCCACATATAGCTACTGAAATCTAAGTTAAATAAGATCAATAGGGCCAGCGCTGTGGCACAGTGTTTGAACTGCTTGCCTGGAGTGCCAGCATCTCACACAGGTGCCAGTTTGAGTCCCAGCTGGTCTGCTTCCAATCCAGCCCCCTGCTAATGCACCTGGAAGGCAGTGGAAGATGGCCCAGATGTTTGCTCTGCACCCACATGGGAGATACAGATGAAGCTCCTGGCTTCGGCCTGGCCCAGCCCTGGGCGTTGTGGCCATTTGGGGAGTGAACCAGCAGATGGATGCTCACTCTGTCTCTCCCACTCATTCTGCCTTTCACATACAAAAATCTTTTAAAAGAAGTTAAACAAGATGAAAATTCCGTCCTCGGGCTTCCTGGCCCTGTTTGAAGGGCTCAGTAGCCACAGGCAGCAAGGGGCTGCCGTCCTGGGCAGTGCGCATACAGAACAAAACAGCCCCTCACTGCACCAGGTTCTGCCGGACCATGGTGCCCCGAGCCCTCTCCCGCTCCTTAACTCACTTTCTCTCCCTCACCCAGGTCTATTTTGCTGTCTATACTTTCACGGCACGAAACCCAAATGAGCTGAGCGTGTCTGCCAATCAGAGACTCAAGATCCTCGAGTTCAAAGACGTCACGGGAAACACAGAGTGGTGGTTAGCTGAGCTCGATGGCAGGAAAGGTTACGTGCCCTCCAGTTACATCCGCAAGACCGAGTACACCTGAGCCTCTCCTGCCTGCCACGCGGCCTTGCTGTTAGCCTGCCGAAAGGTTCTGGTGGGCCACGGAGGGGGCACCGCCCCTGAGACACAGGCCCTGCCACGTTGCATAGCTGTGGCCTGGTGCAACACAAGATGAGTCTTGTCCTTCCTCGGTTGGGTTGTAAAACTTGATGTTCACTAGCGTTTCTAGAATCAAAAATGGACCCTGGCCATGAGAAAAAGCAAGTTCTGGGCTCCAGCTCTGAAGTCGAGAGCTGTCCAACCGGAAGCCAGCGTGCTGTGGACACAGGAAGTCAAGCTGTCTCGGTTGGAACCAAACAGTGTGGGCTGGCCCGTACTCCACGATCAGCCGGCCGGAAGCTCCCTGGGTGAAGTAAAGAATGAGGCTCCGAGAGGCCTTGGAGGCTGCGCTTCTGCGCAGGGCAGGGGATCTGTCAGTGTTATGAAGCCTTAGACACACACCCGAAGTCCCATAGGTTAGGCAGCCTTCAACTTTTTCTTTTTAAGGAGTGTTTAGGGTCTTTATTTTCCTTTGCCCTTCATCTGAAAGGTTCTGTGGCCTCACTAGGTGTGATCCACCTACACTTTTCCGACAGTCATCCCAACCTCAGGCTGCCTCGGTGGGGTCCTGGCCCTCTCTCTCAGGCCTCAGGAGCAGATCTTCCTGCAACCACAGGATCAGCCCTCCAGCTGGCGTCAGTGCCACAATAACCCAACAGCAGTTCCTTCCTCCAAGGTCACAACTACCATTTCGTTACCCCCACACATGCAGAGAACTTGACCCGTGTGACTTACTTGAATTTGGGTAAGCAGTCCAAGAAGTTTCTCCTGGGCCACTGCCTTCCACGCCGAGGTGACGCTCGGGAGCTGGGTGCGAGAGCCCCCGGTAGGACCTGTCCGTAGTCAAAGATTAGCAAAGCCCCTAGCGGGGTCCTTATTCTTAAGGCCTTCCCCAGACACAAAGCCTGCCTTGGAACTGGAAACTGAATTTTGTCTTTGCAGAAAGGGAATCGAGAACAGCCTTAAGCCCCTGCTCCTCCAGGTACCCATCTGGCCTTCAAACCCTGGTGACTTTGGAGCCGTCTGTGGCCTGACGGTCACCTCAGGAGATGGCTCTAGAGCAGTCTTTTGTGAAGTGTTTCTACTTAGAGATGTTTATATTTAAGTAGCTATTTTATAAATAAATGCATTTCTAATGGCCACAAGTATGTTTTCTTGATTTCCATGTTTAGCCTGAACATTTGTTCTTGGAATTGTACTCTGGAAGAATGGGAGAAGCAAATAAGACTACCAGGTCAAAAGTTGATTTTATCTGGGGCCGGCACTGTGGCATAGTGGGTAAAGCCACCGTCTGCAACACTGGCATCCCGTATGGGCACTGGTTTGAGTCCCAGCTGCTCCACTTTTGATCCAGTTCTCTGCTAATGGTCTGGGAAAGCAGTGGAGGATGCCCAAGTACTTGGGCCCGAAAGAAGCTCCTGGCTTCGGCCTAGCCCAGCCCTGGCTGTTGCAAACATCTGGGGGAGGGAACTGGTGGATAGAAGATCTAACTCTGCCTTTCAAATGAATAAATCTTAAAATCACTGTCCAATGTTTCAACACAGTCTCTGGATACCCCACAGAGGTCCATGCTGTAGGCGATTGCGTCTCTGTTTTAAACTATCTTGTGCCAGACCAGAGGCCTGAGGTCTCCAGCTGAAATCCCTCAGAGATGTGTCTTCTCCTGATACTGCCGATGTGGAAATGCACACCAGAGATGAGAAAAGTCACAGCAGCAGTGTGGGCAAAGCTGGAGCCAGAAAAGTGGGCGGCAGGAGTAGTGATGGGGCGACAGTGACGCAGTCACCCAGTGCTGTCAAGGAGTAGAATACATGGGTAACTAGGTAGACTGGGAAAGAGACTTTGAGGTCAGCGTGGCCAACTCTTTTTTATGGGCTAGGAAAAAATGGAATCCAAAGACATTCTGACTCTCAAAGTCCTGCGTTGAGTTTTTGACAGATTACAAGCTTAAACTTGGGCCTGCATGCCCTGGAGCCCACACGTCTGGCTTCCCACATAGCTCTGTGACCTGGGCACCTGACCTCACCTATGCTTCAGTCTCTGTGTCTACAGCAACACAGTCATCCCAGCAACCTGAGGGTGTTGTCAGCATTGGCTGAGTAATACAAGGGCACTTCAGCGCTTCATGGAGATGTGGAATTAAAAGCAGCTTATTTTGGCACAAAAAATTTGAGATCCACACATGAGGAGTCTTCAGAAAGCTTGTGGGAAAGGTGTAGCATGAAAAAGTGGTATGGATTCTCAAATTTTCTTGTACCAAAATAGCCTTAATTTTTCCAGACTTTTTGAAGTCCCCTTGTACATGTAGAACCCTAGTCAGCAGGGGTGGAGAATGAGGCTTTCCATCTGCTGGGGAGCAGAGCTCCAAGTGAGTCAAGGACTGCATGTTAGAACTCCATGCTGGGCTGGTAAAACCCAACCCTGGGCAGATCATCATGGTCATGGAGGGGCCAGTGCTGTGGGTGAAGCCGCTGCCTGCAGTGCTGGCATCCCCTATGGGCACTGATTCAAGTGCTGGCTGCTCCGCTTTCAATCTCGCTCTCTGCTATGACCTGGGAAAGCAGTGGAAGATGGCCCAAGTATCTGGGCCCCTGCACCCATGTGGGAGACCCAGAAGCTCCTGGCTTCCAACAGCTCCAGCTGTTGCAGTCAAGTGGGGAGTGAACCAGCAGATGGAAGACCCCTCCCCTCTCTAACTCTTTCAAATAATTAAATTATTTAAAAAACAAATAAAAATAATGATCATGGAAAATCCTGGCTGTTGCCCTCCTTGGCACTATAGCTTCCAGGTTCTTGCTGCTTCTCCTTGTACCATGTCTTTAATGCCCTCATTTTGTCACTAACAGAATACAAGCCACCCAGCTCCAGGTGGTTGTGAGGCAGGACTTCTAGCCTGTCCGAGACAATACAATCTTCTGGATACTAGAAGACAGTCTTTTCCAAGGCCACCTTCAAACACCATAGGGCAGACAGGCGAGAAGAATACCCATAAACACCTGTTATGTCCTTATATCAGCTTGAGGAAGATACAGAAATTGAGACCTTCACCCAGTCTACCCCATAAGATTATGGGTAACTTCTCTTGAGGGAGTGTTAGGTAGAAAGTTAGAAAGTAGCATGTGTGTGAGAGGCCGAAGGAAAACCGGGCACCGCAGGAAGGAAAGGAATGCAGCCATCTTGGAGGCACACCATGGACACAGTCCAGTATTTCACTCTACACAGCCTTGTACATAGCCCAGTAACTTTACAGTTGATCCCAGCCTTCCCCCCGCCCCCCAGAAAGGTCCCATAGGAGAATCCTCTCTGCCCAACCTGGCAACATCAGGCACTAAAACTTTCACAGCCTTCCCCCAAGGCAGGCACCCCCAGAGAAGTCTGCCCGACACCAAGAGGGCTACCAGTCTGTTAACGCTGAGTAGTCAAACCATGGGAGGAGGGTTTTCACCTGCTTCTCACCCAGCAAACCCTTTGACCAAAGAGAGGTGGGGAGGAGAAACGGTGGAAGAGCTGGACCCCATTCCTTTATAAACCCCAGTCTGAATGCAGACTGTGCTCAGTCTCTTGAGATAACCACCTGGCTTATCGGGTGTCCGATAGTTTACTCTTTAGTCAACTACACGACTTTCTTACCCAAGCCTGAATGGCTGACACTAAGATTCCATCCTGAGAGGTGCCCATCCATTCCAGCAGATGCCCCAGCTATCAAACCTTGCTGCCTTGAGGCCAGTACTCCTGCATCTCACGTCCGAATTGTTTCTTGCACAGACTAGAATCTGTTCCACTCATCACCAAGGCCTCTCTGGCAGGTCCTGGACAGGCCTTGGCCACAAATTTGGTGCAAGATGGCGAGACCAGTAGGGAGCCTGCACTGGAGCCTGTCCTTAAAGGCACACTTCAGGCCTGACCAACTTCTCTCAGGCACACTGGACCCAGGACCTTGATGGACAAAGAAGTCAGATCGAGGGCCACCACAGGAACTCCCCAGGAGGGGGTGGACAGAAGGGCTCGACTACCTGTGCTTCCCCATCTTCAAGTTCAGGCCTGGCAGGCGGTGTCTCCCTGGTAGGCCTTCCCTTGGAAGGCAGGGTCCCATACCACAGGCAGGCCCTCATCCCCAGGGCCTCCTGGTGGGCAGAAATGGGACATCTGTCTGGGGTCCAGGCCTGGGCCACTGGGGCTACAAGGCCCTGGAAGAGCAGTGCTGGAGGCCTTGACCTTGAGACCCTGCATAGGGGAACACGGTCGTTAGGCCTTTACAGTAGGATGGGCCCTACCCATCTTAACGGCACACCACCCAATCTCCATGCCTGTGTGTCTCACAGGGCCTCTTGCCGGAGCTTTCTTCATGATACAGGACCTTTTCAAACACTGCACGTGCCTGTGACACACAGCCACTGGCTCATATGACCGGGGGCTTTGCAGGCCTACCCATCCCCTCCTAGACCTCCAGGTCCAGAGAAGGGCCATGAGGGCATGTTGTGTTCAGATGAGCACATGCGGGACAGCTGATCTGTCTCACACGGACACTCCACGGGGACAGAGATGAGTGCAGAGCTCTTCAAGACCTAAGCATGTTACCACCTTGTGGAAAGTTTCATAAGATGTACAGGGGACAGCCGGACGACCTCAGCCCCAAGCCAACACAGAGCCTTCCAAGCACAGGAGGGCCCTGAGTTGTCCTCAGGTGATCCACTCATGTCCCGGGGGAAGAGACACCTCCTCTCCCCCCACCAAAGCCCAAATAGGTCTGCTTCTGCCTGCAGGGCCTCAGGCCCACGACCCAGGACTGTCGCTCCCCCACTCGCGGAGGAACGACACCAGACCCTGCGCTGTTCTTTTTGCCCGGCCCTTCCCGGGTTAGCTGCCATTCCCTCGCTCACGGAGGAACAACGCCGTCCCGGGATAGCTGCCTGCCCCCCACCTTCGCGGAGGGGCGGCACCCCCGCCGCTTTCCCCACTTCCACGGAGGAGTGGCATACTGCCGGCCGGCTCTCTCAGGGGTTCCTCAGATGTTCCTCAGATGTTCCTGGTGCATGTTGTCTCTCTCCTCCTTTATAGTCCTCTTCCACCAATCCCAACTCTCCTGGCATTCTCTCCCCACGCGCTGAGCACGCTGCTCTCCTCCAATCAGGAGCAGGATCAACTCCTGCAGCTTATTGGTCGAATTGGTGAGGCAGCTGTGTAGAAGTTGTTTGCTCTCTCTCAGCGCCATATGGTGGGAGATCAGATGCATAGAATTAGTCCTAGAAGTTCCAGTAATTTAGTCTAGTCTTGGTTGCTCCCCACAATTCCCCCTTTCTTTTTATTCTTCGGTGTTGATACACGCCTGTCTTCGGTGGCCCGTGGCACACACTCTGCTCTGCTAGAGTTGCCTGCAGGTGCTTATAGCCCTACCAATCAGGCAAACCGAATCCAGGTCCTCTCATCGCCATGTTGTGGGGAGGCTTTTAGGCGCTGATGCATGCCTGTGTTCGGTGCCCTGCGGCACATACTCTGCTCTGCTAGAGCTGCCCACAGGTGCTTATCGCCTTACTAATCAGGCAGACCGAATCCGAGCCCTCTCATCACCATGTTGTGGGGAGGCGTTTTTTATTTTTCTCTATTTCTATCTCCGGGCATTCCTATTTCTCTTAATTTACTTCTATCTCCCTCCTATCTGCGCTGCTTCTGGGCTCCGCTTGCGTCCCGTGCTCTCTTATCTGCGCGGCTTCCCAGCTCCACATGCGCTCCGTGGTCTCCGCGCCTTTCACGCCCTCCCCACGGCCTCTGCACTAGCCCCGCGCTCTTATCTGCTCACGCCCCGTGCGCTCTCTCTGCCCGCGCCCCACGCACTCTCTCCACGCTCCGTGGCTTCTGCGAATCATAGCCTAGCTTACATTTCTGCTATAGTTTAGCTTCCGCCTTTGTTCCCCGGGCTAATCTGACAAATCCCAATCTAGCTTATGTCTCCGCTTTTGGTTTGGCTTTTCCGTCTTTGCTCCCTGGGCTAATCTGACGAATCCCAACCTAGCTTACGTCTCCACTTCGGTCTACCCCCACAGCTTCACTTTCCCTAGCTTATATTTTTCTCTCCCCGGTACTTTTCCTAGCTTTCTTCCAGCAATATTTCTCTCTCATTTCTCCTAGCTTCTCCCCACAGCCTGTA